AATTCCATCTTCTGTCTGCACTCTATGAGCAGGAATTGAAGACTATGGAAATGTTCAGCAACATTTGGAGTTGCATCAAGGGGATGGACTTGCTAGGTATTCTTTTGGTCATTGTATTGAAATATAACAGAAAGCTATATACCAGTACAGCCCTGGCAACTATTTTTCCAGCTTAAATTGATTGATTTTTGTTTAAAATTTCAGTGCTGTTACTCTATTTGCCTTGGCTTTAGAAAGAGTTAAAATCAGAATGAAGTCGGTGATCAGGAAAAGATCTGCTGAAATTCTAACCTCTGTTGCTGAAGGAATACATATGCAATTGCAGACCGCTGAATCTCAGATTCAAGCTGATATGTAGGTACTTATGCAATGACTGATCACTGGCTCAAGAATTTCATCTCTTATGCAGAATTATTGACTTTTTTCAGGGGAAAACTGACTAGTCTCACTAAATCAAAGAGAAAACATCTGGAGATGAGATTTCAAGGTAAACATTTTTTAAAAGTAGGAACTGATAATTCTTGAATAATATATGTTCCACTGCTCCTGTTGACCAGCATATGATAACATTTAAATCCATGTGAAAGTTGAAGCAACTTGACTCCGTCTTGTCGAATATTATGCATAATATCACCTGTTGACCAGCAAATGTTGTTTTACCGGTGCTTTTAATCAATAGCAAGTCTTGCTCTTTTATGATAATGCGATCATATAAAGTTGTTTTTGGGAGATAGTCATCTGGAGTAATTAACTAGTTTGCCTGACACTATATCTTGGTAGAGAACAACTCCACCATTGAGAAGGGTTTCTTGGTATTTCTTCTTTATAAATCATATCACTTTTTGACCTATACATCATATTTCGTAGACTTCTTCTTCGGGTACTCCTTTTGAAACATTAATGTCACATATGTGTTGTGATTTTTTTTTTTATTTGAATCATGTTTCTTAGTTATTTTGCTTGTTGTCAAAGACTCAAAATAACTTTTGAGCAATTTTATGCGCGCAGGAAGATATACAAGGGAACGACTTGTTACTTTTCTTCCCCTCCCCTTCCTAGAATTTCTGCCTTCTTTGTCTTCAGATAATGCTTGTAATTTTGAAGTTGATTGCGGAGTATATCATGAGAACTTACTCATCCTTGTAGTATTTTACAGACAGGATCTTATGAATTGTGCAAAATTCAATTGCTGTTTGTGCAAGTCATGATTGTTTGATCTCACTAGGATTTATCTGTAGGACTAAGAACTGAGATACTTTATGTACACTTTAGCTTCCATTATGTGTTCTTGAAGATTGAATGACTACTGATGCAGAACTACAAGGACAGTTGAATGTCATATATGCGAAGTTCAAGGAAGAGGTTCATCAGCATCTTCAAGATTGCAGAGACACAGTTGAGTGTCTGGATGCAAACCACATGGAGCTTAGAGGGATAGTAGAAAAACAAAGTACGACTTATATTTTTTCTTAAAAGTAATTTTGCATAGCTGAGAATGTGGTTTCTATATGCATAATGCAGATTTGAACTGCCAATCAAAATTTTCTCTTTGCAAAGAAATGTCCCTCATTTTCCCCCTATAGTATCAGGTTGTTGATCTTTTAACGTTCATAATCGAAGAGTTTATTGAAGTCATTTGCAGAATCTAACTAGAGCAATTTTCAAGGTCAAAATATGAACACTACAATATTTGGAAAGCTAAAATCAGATAAACGGAACCTAAACAGTTTTCGAATGTTTCCTATTGCCTTTATGATTGACATTCTAACTGTAAGCTGGTAGCCAAACAAATTTAAGCTTTAACAGGCTTCAAGCTTTTTACTGGTCTTTAATAATTTCAGGTGCATCTCATAGAAAGCTTCTTTTGCAAGCTGAAGAAGAAATTGAGACTCATCTGACTGATGCTGGGAGGAGAATAATGAAGGTCCATACTGTAAGTATCTTCAGCTTGAAGTTTCGAGAACACTTGGCTTTCAAACTTGCTGCTTGCTTCTCTTCCCAAACGCATTGTTATGTGACAATATTGTTGTGATATGGTTGAGTTATGAACATGGTTATTGCTCTCCGCTTGCACTATCTTGATTTCTAATTGTGCCATTAAGTTTATGTATTTGTTAATAATACCACATAACTTTAGCTATTATACTCTCCAACTCTACTTACGTGACATGGTAAAGACAACTTGATGCTTGCCTCATACATCACCTGGAAATTTTAGCATGTATTCTCTCTCTTTTTTTTTTCCCCTGTTCTTTTGCCATCTTTTCCGTCCATATACAGCGGCCACAAAGGACCATCACACTGGAGTCCCAAGACCATACTCTTGCATGCAGTCATCAACACCAATTTGAATCAAAATGATCATAGAAGGCCCAAAATACAAATACCATAAATTGTACATCCAGTGTATATGATATTTGCATCAGATTTGAATGAAGCAATAACCACTGGACAAATTTGGCATGTCAAAATTTGCTATGATCATCTTAAAAGTTTCGAGTCATGCTATCCAACCAATTGTAGAACCAAAGAAGGTGGATGGCAGCAGCCATCCAATGGTTTTCAGGAGTTACCCCTTTTCCCGCTTGAAATTTTTATTCTTTGATCCCAAATTTTCTGAAAATGAAGGTCAGTCGACGAAACATGGATGCAAATATATACTTTTGATATTTGCATGGGACAGGTTCAGTTTGGGGTATCGGTCTATCTTACTGTACAAATTAATAAAAAATCGTTTCTGATAAAGATTGTTATACGTTGATTATGTATTCATGAAATATTTTTTTCCATCTGGGATGACTTGTGCAATACATTGTCTCTGCAGTTGGCAAGGGAACAGATGCTTCAGTTGAAAAATGCAGTAGTTGACTGTTTGAATGAAGGTAACCTTGGTTGACATGATTGCAATTTATGTTGGAGGATGCAACGTCCATGATCAGGAAGAATTTCTTGTCTGCTCAGAATTTGTTTACGGCTTCCTGCCTGTGTATAGCTTTAGATTTTCATCAGCATTTTTACTACTTCCGTTCCAGAAGTATTGTGACAAGTATATCTCGATTGGAGCGATTGTTGTTGAATTCCACTCAAGTTGGGGTAAGCTTCTCAAGGTTTTGTTCGCCGACGCCCCTAGATCTTCCTTCTTGAGGTCACCAATGCATCCTCGCTTTTGCATTTTTCACCTGAAAATGCTTCCATACTGAGTATCTTGTCTTCTGCCTAGGTCATCACAACAGATGCATTTTTTGGTATGAACAGGTTCTGAATGTAGTAGCTCTCTCTCTATTGAGATGGATTTGATATTTTGACCGAAAAAGAAAATTATCTTACAAATTCTTCCCAACGGTTATTTATATATTTTTTAACAGAAATGATTAAAGATATTTAGGGTTAATGAGAGAATTCGAGTGTGTTTGGATTTGCAATCCTTCAACTCAAATCCCTTTTGTTTTGCATAAACTCGCTCGGATTTGAGTTTGAGATCCAGCACACGGAGGAGTAATTTTAAAACTGATAGATTTTAAATTCACCCAAATTAGGAACTACTTCAAATCTCTACTCTCTCACCCTCTCCAATTTTTGTTTGAAAGATCCTCTGCTCCCTACTACTGCGACTTTGGGTGCGTTTACGAGGAATTGCAGCCAGAGAGATGTTTGCGATTGTGTGGGTGAGAGGGGAGGAGCGAGGCCGCTGTTGCCATCATCGTTGCACCAGCCGACGCGAGAGCAGAAGCAGAGGCACCAAAACGAAGCAAGTAAAGAGTGCAAGTATCGCTGGAAGAGAGGAAAATGGAATATCCGATACTATCACCATACTTTCTACATTTTCTATTTTCACCCTGATCTTGTTTCAGTAATTAAATCTCATGGAAGTAATAAGCGGTCTCGTACACGGATTTGCTTGCGTGTCTCATCCTGAATTGATCAACCCTTTCTCGATACCGTGATGCAAATTTCTGTACAGCGAATGCCCAAGATCGGACGGACGACCAGCTCCCCCACCGGTTTGAAATCCCATAACATCACGACGCGCAAAGTTGCCATTATCCAACAGATTGCAACCTTGCATCACATCTTGGTATTAAGTCATCTCTACAGTACCAAACATGATTTGCAATAGGTTCAATCAAAGGCTGGCTGGGGACTCCAGGTCAAAGAACTGCTTTGATGTTTGCTTACAGGATTCAAGAAAGCTACACAGTCAAGACTTCAGTACTTGACGGGGAAAGACGTTTTCTGACTGCTTTAGTAGCTGCGCTACCCTTAAAGTTCAGATTTGATAGAGCATCAGACAGTGAATCAACAGTCTCCGATTCCTCAGCAACAGCCGCCACACTATCAACACCATTTTTGCTGATGGATGCACCATTCGAGTCTTCTCCAATTTCTAGCTCTAGAATCTTTAACTCATCGTCAATGTCTTCATCCTCAAGAACTGCACTAAGTGGCGCTGATACTGAAAAGTCCAGATTAAACGAGGTCAATGAGATGATCAATCCAATTCCACAAAACCATGTACAGGGGAAGATTACACTTGCAGAGCATGATAAAGTACTAATTTCATTATTTCCGACTTTCTGTTTGTACTTCTTGATAGTTATCCTTCCTGGCTATTGGCTATCCATGATTATAGGCTCAAACTTTGCTCGATCTATGAATACCCATAACCGAACGGTGTTTGTTAGGCATCAACTTCTTTAAATAATATAACCACCAACTTAAGCATCATCAGGTCAACACGAAATTCTCAGAACCATTGGCAGCTGAAGATGCCGCCATAAGTTGTATCATAATCCTAGCCTGGGCTTAGAGTGGTTTGAAAGTAGCATCAAACCAAACAAGTAACGTAGTAATAACTCGAACCATTTGTTATGCTATCAATTTTTGGTCAGAGCAATCATCCTATAGTATGATTTATCACCATTTCCCTTAATATCAATTTATTGAGTCATTAGATTTACTAATCAGATATCTGATTGAAACTCAAAGCAAAGACGAAAAAATTACCTAGAAGTTTCATCCACTTGATTTATTGAACGAATGCTTGTATCCAGATCCTCTAGACATAAGTCAACTTCTTCAATGCTAATCTTATTTTCTCATTGCTTCTGCACCAACTTTCATTGCTTCAGACACCTTCCACCAAAAGGTTAATGAGTTAAGCCAAATTCAAACTATTCTATGTGAAGGAGCAAATATAGATGATCCAAAGACTAGAAGCTAAGCAGATGCAGCTGTACATCCACTGAGTTCCGCGCTAGTCATATTGGCTGACATTTTGCCTTGCCAAGATGACTTGAATTTTCTCACTGTGACGTGCTCAGAAAGGTTACACTGTAGCTCAACATATGTTCTAGGAAGCCTTTAAAGAGTTATACAAGCTACCTTTCTGGAGGACTCAGCATCTGCAATTACTCTAAGGACTTCTCGCACACGGTTCAGAAGTAGTGTACATTTCTCTCTACTTTGAAATGCCAACTTCAGTTCCCTTGCATGCCTCAGGGCAATTCTCCTATTCCCAGATTTTAGACAACCCACGGCTGAACTTTTAGACCTGCGTTGCAAATAAAGCTGTTCTTATGCAGAAAAGATTGAAAGCGAGAAAACTTAGTAACAATTTGAAATGGGAGAAAAGGTTAACGTTGCACGCAAGTACTTCGCAAGCATAGTGCTCAAACCCACACCCCAACTTAACATTTCTTGTTTGGATGTTAATGTCTTTGTAACATTACAATCTGCCCATAAGCATAACATACAGTTGATGCTTAGAGACATCCTAGAACTAAGCTCATTCTTTGTCTCCAATTTAACATTTTAAATATCCATATGAACATCTTTTAAAGAAGCTCTTTATGACCTTAATGATTACGGAGAACCCAAACCTGAAAACTTTGTAATATGTCTGTGTACTAAATACAAAATATGTAGGAATTTAAGGTATAAAACAAAAGATTCTGTCGATCTAGATAGCAAGAAACTGCTGGAGGTGCATACAGAAAAAGTTGCAAACATGTTAAAGATATAAACCATATTAGCTTTAGCATGCATTAAATTGGTTAAATCATAACTAATTAATTAATAGTATTTTCCATTATTTAAAATATTTATTAATTTATTTTGCAAAGAGACTGAATCTACAGGGCGAATTGCCTTCTAAAGTCTTGAACTCCCGATTTTGGAACAATGTGGTCCATCAAACTTCGAAGTTAAACACATGTAGTGTCTTGCATTCTCAATTGTGGACCAAATATCAAGAATAGATACAAATTGACTAAATACTAACAGGAAGAACAATGTGAACTTTACATAAACATAAACTTCTAGCTTCAAATAGAAACAAGCAGCCATGATTCCTAAAACTGATGTCCCAGTTCTTGTATCTCAAATACAGTTGCAGTGGGAAAGAGAAGAATTAGGTTATTGATTGGAAAATGATGCATAAATACTTTTATCTTTTCAAAATGTTGAGGATTAACGTGCACATGAAGCTCACAGGATATTTGTGTTCATAACTATCCAATTCCCTTGAGTTATCCTTGATTCAGACCTGACGAAGCAGTTACTAAAATACACTTTGTTTTCAGAGAAACTAAAGGGACCTGATGAAGTCAGAGTTCTCCTACATTTTATGACCATTATAGAGTCTGTTACATCTCCGGAGCACCAGATGGAACATTTAGTGTTTGACTGACTAGAGTAAAGACGTGAAAGTTGTGCAATTAAAACAAATAATCAAAAGCTGATTCTTACTTTCGACAGCGTTGGTCAATCACTTCAAGCTGTTGCTCAAGCTTGTCAACTGTCCACATTAAGTGCAAAACATGATAATCCAGACTAGTGACCTCAGAAACTTCTCCTGAAGAAAGAGAGACTTTCACTCCCTGCAAGGAACTAGTGGCCGAGTTAAATTTGGCTTCTAAATCCTCATAATTTTGCCTCGGAATGCTTCAGGATGCAATAATGTTAAAAACTCAATGAAGACATACAGAATATATCATAATTGAACTACCTCCATAACATCCTTCTTCCTGACCACAAGGTATTTAGCTTTCCCACAACCTGACAAGTAACTCAAGACAGCAGATGCTTCCTTCGGTCCTCCACAAGTTTCCTGGAACTTGGTCAGCGTGATGACACAAGCAGATGTCCAGTGGTTCAGAAAGAAGTTGGACAGCTTGAAGAGCTCTTTCCTAAACGTGTCAGGGAGAACTTTTATCTTTTGACTGGAACTTGGGTGCGTACGTATGAAAACTAGTAGTAATAATTCCAATACTTCACAGTCAAAACTATTCAGGTCTACCTTCAACAGGGTTGAAAGTATGCAGTAACAATCTTCAGAGAAATCGATGGCTGGGGGGTGTAGAGAAGCCCAGGGTATGCATTGCTTTCCTTAAATGAGGGAAAGCCTGCCGCTTGGACTCGTTGATGTCCTTGTTGGGTCCGTAAGATCAGAATCCCGCAACAACTCACCAGCATTATGCATCTCAAACTGAAAGGCAATTACAGTAAATACTACTAGTACTAGTAACTAACTAATATGTTCGTCATCGTAACACGCTGCAGTAGCAGCAGTATGAAACTAAACTATAGATAGAGTATTATGAAAGAAGACGATAAAAGTGGGTTTTCTCTTAACTTACAAGGACTTGGTGGAGGCACAAGGGGGACAAGGCTCCTTCCCGACGGAACCAAATGTTGTTGAGGCGGGAAGGACGTATGATGAAGGTCCCCAGATGTCGAGCCACTTTGATGATAAGGTCCCTCCAGAAGAGATAGCGGCCTTCCCAGTCGGACCTTTGGCCGCTGAACCCCTTGAACCGCGCCACCGCCTTCACTGGGTCGTCCCAGTCTTCTACTTCTCTCCTCACCAACTCCCTCACCTTCAGACGCTCCTCCTCCTCCTCCTCCTGTATATCGTTACTTGCACAGTCCGTCATCATCAACTATTCCTCTGGCACTCCTACTCTACCGTATTTGTTCGATCGATCTATTCCATCCTTCATCCTAATTCCTAGAAAAAGCCGACTACGCAGACGGTGTCGGAGAGAGGTGGCTTAAGTTTGGCGGGCATTTTGGTCGCTAATAAGAATCGGTCGCGTCGCGGCTTTTCTTCTGATTCTTCTGTCGCGGCTCGCTGGGGTATTTGCAGATCCAAAGTGCATTTTGCAATTTATCGTCTTTTGGGCTAATGCTTTTTGGGCTTCGACTTTTCGGCTGACCCAAATCAGGATATGAATGTGATATAATATCCTGATATTAAGGGCGAAATACGCAGAAAACTGCAAGAGTCACCAAAACGACGACACTCTCTCTTTTCCCTTCTCCTCCTATACGGAACATCAGGTCTTTTCCCAATTCACCGGTGGCTGATCAACGAATTTGTTGCTTTAATCGATCTAATTAGTGACTCATTCCAGCCTTATGATCGGTGTTCACCCAGTTGACCGGTTCCGTATTTTTTTGCTACAGTATTTTTTTTTTTCCAAAAATTATGCCAAATAGTCTAACATCCAAACGCATTCCGCGCGTCATTATAATTGAACTTGACACCCATTCTTGTGTCCATTTGCTAAAAAAAGCCAGTAAAACAAAACTAAAAGCAAAAAGACAACATATTGCAAGATCCACCATGAATGCAAATGCTAGAAAGTAATAAAACATATCAGTATTTGATTGCCTGTATTCCTTCGGAATTTGACATTTCAACAGAATCTGTTGGAACTAAACATCTCAATATAAATGAATCAAATGGTATCAAAGTTACCACCTTCCTACCTTGGCACTGAACCAATAGCAAAGGTTTCATCACTATGATTCCCAAAGTGATAGTTTTCATACACTTCGAGTAGTAGTTGCCTGCAGGGCACACAGCCCGAGTTTAATGCACGCAAGAAAAGCACCTGAAAGCTTCCGGTGAAGACTGTAAGCCTCCTGAGGAGGTGGTGTCAGCCTGTGTCTCAACATTGTAGCTCCAAGATTTGAAATACTTTTAGTAATATTGGCAGAGCGGAAGTCATAACCCCCAGGCTTAGCAAAAGGCAGTCCTACTATGAAGCCAGCCTGAACATGAGCTTCCAGCATTATGTCGGATTCCTTCCCCGTGAGAAATCCAAGTCTATGGGACATCTCAACTACGGCTTCTCGGTCACTGTTGGCACAGGCAAGGACCTGATTCAGACATGATTGAATCATGAATATGATCACACGAAGCGAAAGAACGAGGTTATAACACCAGAGAAAAGATCAAGATTTGATCGCATAGAATAGTAGAATTATAAATTCTACAAGAAGGATTCAGCCAAACAAGGACAAGGACAGACAAGCGGATTAATTTTCTCCAGGAATAACAATGCATTAGCAAATATCATAATCCCAAATAGGTTACTCGGAGTGTGGAAAAGAATTCCGCAAATTTGAGAAAATATAAATCATGTCATGTTCTATGAATGCTCACAAGATAAAGGCTAACATGATCAAAAACCAATGGAGACACAGCTTAAGCATAAGCTTGGGGATACTGCAAAAGCAAAACCAATTACCATCCTCAAATAGTCATCGACAAAACTTTTAGGGTAGTCCCGAGCTGCTCCGAAATCAATAAGATTGATGCATTTTGCAGATTCATCGTATAAAAAATTGCTCCAGTTGGGATCAGTCTGCATTAAACAGAACCAAAATACAATGTCAAGAGAAAAACTGACAGACAATCACAAGCGTGTAAGAGGTAATTGGTGTTTCTTTTTTCTTCTATTTTCTCTCTTCTTCTGGGGGTTGAGTGGTTTTTTTTTTTTTTTACTAAGTAATTGAGCTAGAAGTTTGCTTTCAATACAAACTCTTATAATGGGGAGAGCTAGTATGAATGATAACAAACCTCTTGACATGGACAAGGGGAGCAAAGTTAGGGGAAGAGTGTATCAGGATGTAATCGCAGTATGCTAGTCTTAACATGCCAAAAACCAGTTTTAGAGGGCTAACCCAGCATACTAGAGGCAACTTACCCCACAAGACCAAGTTCCACAATTATAGTCCCTTGAAGTCAGATTCCATGTAGCACCAAAAGTTGAAACCTTAGGAGAAAATTTCAGGTATAGGGATGACCATATGAATCAGAAGTCCTAGGAAAGTGAAAGCAATTCTAAGCTCATAATTAAGTATGGTTTCGGTGAAAACCAAGAAAAATCTTTGACTATGTGACTAACTTAGCAGAAAAGCTAGAAGTGCTCATAAGGAACTGAAGAGACGGGTCAACTTTATTTAATATTAATACAAGAATATCAAAAGAATGCTGAAAAAAGGAATTTATAGAAGTCACCCCAAACAAGAATCATTATTCTTTTCCCAAATCATAAGAAATGCATTAAAATGCTTTATGCTTATCAGCGGGTATAAACTTCACTTAAAGAATATCGTACTTGGATATCTTAATTTTTCTGCGACCAAATCCTAGAACCATATGCTATAACCAACCAAAGAATGTCCATCAAAATATGATGTCTTAAGACCAATACATGAGTATACCCACCCCAATTCACAACCATTTACACATCATATCCATATTCAGAATTTGCAGGTGCGAGGCATCTCATAACTTCATGTCCCAAACCATTCAAGAAAATTCTAAAAAATGAAAAGGCTTCTCACTATTCTTGTTCTATAAGCTTTTCAAAGTGTAATTCCTCCATCCCAGTTTTCCTAAGAAGACAATGGGACTATATTAATTAGGCAATTTTTGTTCACTGGTGCAAGTTAGAAGGCAATCTTTTGTTAGTTAAGGACATCAATCTCGAGCAACACAAGGTTTTGTTAGTTAAGAACATAATTGGGGCAACTTTGGTCATATTTCCCATGAAGACACAATGCTGTTGTAATAACAGTTGAATCTCAATGCAAGTGCTCAAGCTTTAACCCCTTTCTAAGTCATCTAACATAAAGTATTTAAAGCATCTACACTTCTACCTAATTAAACAATATCTTACTATATATAAAGTGTGAAAGGAATTGTCAGTGTTACGTTTTTTGTCATCTTTTACCTGTTCACGCTTACTACAAAGGGTAAATGGGACCAACTAATTAAATAAATTTAAAAAAAACATGTTTATCTGTAACTTCCCCATCTACACTTTTACCAACGTCGGAACTTTCATTCTACCTAATTGTATCCTAACCAACTGCCAATGTTTCACACTACTCCATCCAAAAGTGTACATCTAATGATTCACCAAAACTACTGCAGTATTCTAACACCACTACAACGGCAAAACTAAACAAATAAACCCCAAATTCCTAACTTCAAAAACTTCCCCTCTTCCTTTTACATTTTATCTTCTCCTTCTTTCTTTTTCTCAAAGCAATTTTCTATATTTGAACACACATGAAGTGCGCCTATAGCAATAGTATAATACACAACTAATTTGATTCCACTAGACCAGCTCAAAGTTTTGGTGATACGTGAAACTGTAGCCAGTTTCCTGTTTTGTAGAAGCTGAACAGATTCTTTTTTAACCTATTGTCCAGACAATTGGGCACTAGCAAATTTGACCATCATCCCAGTAAGAAAATTTCGGGTTATACATATGTCATATTAAAAGTTCTCAAACTTTCCCACTTAAGAAATCCATGATTTCCTACTCATTGCAAAAATTATTTCCTAGTAACTGTCCCAAATAGCAACTTACACAGTATATTTCCCTTTCAACGACTTTTCAGTACTGGTATTTGATCATTAAGTAGGTAAATTTCCAAATATAATTTGAATACATCAACTTGTTTTGCAGGCTTAAAACTCTAAGCAGCTACTTGTGCAACGAAGCTAAGAACCTCTTCATGTTCTCAAAATATAAAGAATCTCGTTATAAGGACAACATAATAACTGCACACAAGACATGCCTGCATGAATCGAAAGAAAAATAACTCCGTCAAAGTAAGTTCAAGCAACTTCTTTCCAACATAATTTCGAGTCTCTTGGTCTAATAATGCCACCTTGTCGATTGGAATTCCTGGAACAAAAAATTTTCATGATCAATATCATCAATCATTTTTTTTAGGGAATTCATCGTACTTATGTAGGTAAAGAATTTTACAATGGACTATATCAAGATATTATACAACAGGGAAACAGATTTGATTGCAATGAATCTAAAGCCAAAAGAGACAAAATTCTAGATTCTGTTTGAAAGCTTGAAAACTCATCACATACTTATACAACATATGAGAGAAAATATGTGCCTTAATTACCACTAACAAGTTCAGTAGTAAGAACTCTTCTGCTTGACAAATCATCCACGACCAGGGGAACATAAAACCCTTGTGCGTCCGAAAGCAGATGACGAAATCTTTTCTGGTTTTCTGCCTCCAGTTCGTAATTGCATTCTCGAGAAAGTTCATCTTTTGCTACCTGTTATTGTTTCCAGGCAGACCCAGTCATATTTACTTCTTTACTTATCAAAAATCTTATATCAGCTTCTCCAGTTACATTAGTTCAAAATATTAAATCAGAATATTTCAGACCCTATTTAGATACCGAAAGATAGATAGAGGAAGTGCAATCGCTTTTTCAAATTCCGTGTATTTCCTAAAACAATCAAGAAGACCAGGATAAGTGGAATAAAATGACCAGATATGGCACCTATGAGTACTTATAATCAATAGAAAATTGGATATTAAAAGCAACATTTTAAGAGAGCAGTTTGAAATACTTAGGTCTAAAACTTCAACAATGTAAACATCAAACAAGATGGGCCCAGGTCAAACTTGAACAACTACAAACAACCAACAAACAATTACTCTAATGCCAATAGTTACAAACTTTCACTGGCATTCTACATATGTCTACAACAGGGTAGCCTTATGTTGACCCAGAATCCAATTAGCAGCAATTAATGAAAGCATGATCCAGCCAGCAGCAGAAAAAAATCAGTCAGCAAGCAACGAAAAAGAATTTGATAGAAGCTCCTATTAAAAGTCAAAAGCATAAACACTTTATGGTAGAAAATGGACAATTTCCAACCAAGCACAATTTCCTGCAATAGGGCCCCTGTTTAAATAATGACATATGATGCAGCATTATCCACATTACACTACTTCCAAGCATCAGCAAATGGCTTACCTGCATAGCATTATCAAGATACAATCTTTCTGGAATAAGATTTGTATAATTGAGTAACAACTTGACATTCTCAATGTCACTCTCAATACTGTCTGCAACTCCAGGGTACTGTATTTTCATTGCAACCTCCAACCCTTCTTCAGTAATGGCGCGATGTACCTAAAGGTGAATTGCAGATATGGATCAGAGCTGCATCATGACTAGAAAAAGGGCATTCTTCAACCCAACACATATTGCAAGAGAAAAATATCTAATCTCTTTTGTATGAAATGAATTAGATCATTGTTATAAAATATAAAAAATTCAGGAAGAAAAGGCAAGAAAAATCATATCAATGTGAACAAAAGTTACAACTCCGCTAAGATGGAACACTACATCCAAAGCAGAAAACTGTAACGACCAAAACATTACCACACTTAATAATGTCTCTCCCTCCAAAGGTTCTAAGCACAAAAGCAAATGAAAGATAAACACTAGTACAAGCTAATACAAGTTTCAGCAAGAAAAAGAGAGAGGAGGACAGAACAAGGGAGAGAATCCAGCACAAAAAAAAGAAAAAGAAGAGGAAAACTAGATCCAAAAATCATCTTTAAAAGATTATTGAGTAATGAATTCTCAAAATATCACTGAGTTGCAGAACCACTGCAGGAAGAAATAGATAAACCCTCAATATCGAACCCTAACCTTGACAATAAGTGACTAACACCTTTTCACACCATAACACATGAAAGGATACTTTAACCAGTCATAGGAACATCAACAAACACTGCATTAATAACTCTTGTTCTCTATGCATGATACTACATGAATAACTCTTCACAGAAAGATGGTCTAACTCATGCAAAAGCACAATCAACATAAGTAAAAAATTAAAGGTAATTGATAAAACCACAAATTCCAGGTGTCACTTGCATCACCTGTCCAATACTTGCAGCAGCCATTGGTCATAATCAAAATTGATCAACTTAGATGACCAATTAGGCCCTAATTCAGCATCCAAAACTTGATTAAGCTGGCTCCTTGGCATCACATCAGCACCTTGACGGACCATCTCCAAAGCAGCCAAGATCTACAAGATGTGAGAAACTTCTGCCTTTCAAACAAAACTACTAAATTCAGAATATTTGTTCTTTATGCAAGATATATGTAATGGACAATATTTAGTTCAGTTACAGAAAGAATTATTTTTCCAAAGAGAATGTGTACTCCATCGTGTAAGTACTTCAACAACTAATGCCGAAGCAACCATTAAAACTAGAATGAGGTAATATGGCTAATTTCAACAGCTTTTCATAATATTAAAGACTCCAATCCAATTCTCAATTTTTTTTTTACCAGAGAACCTCAAATTTTTTGTATCCCCGGATAAATATTATGTTGTGTATATAACTAAGCTCCAATACTGATAGCTAGAAGTTGGAACCCAGACAATCTGGTGCCTCTAAATGTTGGATAAAACTGAGTTGTGAGAAGAAATCAGCACAAAAGTTCACATAGTAGTTCAAACACTACGTATCTATGAAGCAAAACCTGGTTCTTATTCAATCTAAGCAAAAAGCCGAGAGCAAGTTGAATTTTCCAGAGTTTTTCTTGGTAATTATAACAATTTCAATCAAATTTTGCCAAAATCATTTCGCACAATCTTATTGCACCAAAAAAAAAAAGTAGGATTGAATTCCTGAGGTTTCTATCAAACTGTTCAAATTCCTGAAATTCAGAAGTCCATTGATAATTCCATTCCACAAAACTATCATCTGGAAGAAAAATCCATTCCTTTGGCGCTATGCAAGCAGCAGGGCAAACAGCTGATTGACAATCCAAAGTTATTTATCTTTGTTTCTCCTATTACAAAAATTGAACGTGGTGAAGCAAAATGAATCAGTTAAAGCATTTACCGGAGCAGGTACAAGGGATTCATCTTGTATACTAAGCATCTGGCCTAGTTTGAGGGCTGCCCCACGCATTCTGCACAGTGCAAGAGCCAAACGTTCTGCATTTTTCTCAGATAAGAATGGCGAAACGACAGATTGTTTCTCTTGCAAGTTTGGATTACCAAAAACAAGCCTTTTGGCAGATTCCTGAAATGTTCCCCACAAGACCTGCTCCTAGGCCAGCAAACCTTCAACAGTAATAAACTAGACATTACTTACTGAAAACCAGGAGCCAAAATAAATGCGCAGGAGCCGTGAAGCAAAGTGAGAAACGAGACTATCTTCCATTCCAATTTCCAGTGTTATGGTTTCATTATCATCCCAATTAGAAATTAGAACCACTATTAAATCGGAGCCCTGGAAAAGATTAAAAAGAGAGGGAGAGAGAGAGTGAACATAAAGCCGAGAGGGAAGACTGACCCGAGGGCTCTGGAGAAAGGGGTGGAGGGAACTCTCCTCTCTCTGGGTTTTCTCGGCTTTTTCCCAGACAGCGGTGGAGTCGGGTTTGCGTTGGCGAAACCACATCGCCATCCCGGTTTGTGCCAGCACCAAGAGGGGGAGGGGGAGGAGCAGCCGCCGCAGTAGGATCCTCTGCCTTCAAATCTGAAGGGATTTTTCCAGCGCTGCCTCCGGAGTTGGAGGGCGCAGTGATGAGGGCCTCATTATCATCAGAAATGCATGAAACGTGTCGAATCGAATCTGATTGCGGGAGCCGCCGCAGTGGCTCGCCGCCAACGCTTCCGGGCTGTCCCCTGGTATCATCACTATTATTGATATTGTTGCTAGTAGTGGTTACGACACGGGCGAATCTTGCCCTTGGTAAGTCCGGTTAGGTCGGTAGCGGAGAAAATAGTTTTCTTGACTAGGGATTGCAGCAATTATTCCCTACTTCTCCTCCTTCCCCTTGGCTTTGGCGCAGAACATCACCAAGGGCCTCCTTCGCCACCAAAGATAATCCATTAGCAACCCGCAAGATGTCCTTCAGCCACACCATGCTCCTTCCTTTATCATCATAACCCGGTCTTAAGAATCCCCATAACAAAAAGCTCCAATCATGCGCGGATAATTACAGAAACCTCCCCTGAGGTTTCTGATAATTTCACTGAGCTCCTTTAAAGTTTAAAAAATATACATACCTCCCTTATTATTTAAACTGATAATTTTACCCTTAAATATTTTAATGAAATTCTGAATGCTTATACTTAGAGTGAGTTTTAAAATTATTTTTTCATTTCTTTTCCTTCTTATTCCTTTTTTTTTCAATTTTTCGTCAATAAAACTGTAAAACTATCACTATTACCTCTAGGTTTCAATAATAACCAAATGTCGAACTAGTGATTTTGTTGATGAATTAATTTTATATATAATCTAATGTTTTTGCTGATCTTTGTTTTCTATTTTTGGGTATTAAAATTAACAATAAATTAAAAAAAGGATTAAAAGCACTACTAAATTATGATAATCCTACAATTTTAAAAATTTATAAACTCTCAATAAATTATTTCAATATTTTCGTTTCTATCATATAAATCTAAATCCATAATAAAATAACATAAAAAATATCATATCACAGCAATAAAATTATTATTATAGTTGTTTATCAAATAATAGATATGTACATGAAACTTTTGGCATTTTTTTCTTATAATTATACTAAATAATTTATAATTGTATAGAAAAATAAATTAAAACTCATTCCACAAGGACATTTTTAGGTATTCATTTAAAAAATTGTCCAAGTCAATATTATTTTAAGATTTTATTGCTAAAACTATCAAATTAAGAGTCATAAATGTAATTTTTTAAACTTTAAAGAGCTCAGTAAAATTGTTAGAAAATTCAAGGGAGGCTTTTGCAATTATCCCATCATATGGAAAAGATTTGCTTTCTCTCTCTTATTTTTTTATTAAAATGCGGTATACCGATACCTCCCAAAACATAGGCCTTGTTTGACAAGTAAATTTTTTGATAAGTTTGTCTGTTACAAGTTTTTTAACAACTTTAACTACAGTAACATCAAAAAATTTATCTAAAATGATACACTTCAAAATATCAAAAAATTTACATATTTCAAAAATTTTTTCTACAATTTCTATAGTGACATATAGTAAAGCTTTAGACAAATACAAAAAAAATTCACTTGCAAAACCGAGGGTATAGTTTAAAAATTTTGAAAATTTTTTAAAGATTACCGTGATTAAAATTGTTAAAAAACTTGTAACACACAAATTCGACAAAAAATATACTTGCCTCACTTACTTTCAAAAGTTTGTAACATTATCAACCTAATTCAAAATAATTATTAAAAAACTATTTTTTGGATAATAGAGATGACTTTATTTCATGGTTGCCCTTTTATTATAATCTCTTAATTGTCAAGATAATTCAATTAAAAATCTGTTAACATTTGACAACTTAACTGATGTACTTTTGTAACAGAAACTAGGAGGGAGTGCCCGCGCATCGCGCGGGTGTTTGATGCCTGTAGGAACGAGATTTTTTTGTTAAACAGACAATAGTACATTATGAGAAGAAATAAAATTTAGTACGAAAAGATAAACGATATAATCAATCAATTCACACAGAATTACAATAAAACTGTGTCAAATTAAAGGTCGTTGAAAATGCAGAAAGGCAGAGCAACACATAAAGCAAATATTATTCCAGAATCCTCACTGAGAGCTCTTTCTTACTGTTGCTCCAAACCTATAAGATTTAAGAGTCGCTAATTGTAAGTACGAAGAATACATCGACAAAATTAAGGGAGGAACTGAAAAATTGGGAGGGTGAAATCTAACCTCACGCTGAACCACCAGGAGTAGCTAGGATTGAAAAGCATTCTGAGCTAATTAGTATGAAGTCAGGTAGAATTATCCTAATCTTAGAATGTAAACAGGGAGAAACTGATAATTAACAATTTAGGCATTAACATACCAATGGTTCGGCAATTGAATTGGGTGTAATTAATGACGAAATAATAGGTAATTTCAGAGTTGAGTTCGAATGGAAGAGAAAACGATGAGGCAAATCATTGTAGACAAAGGCAAAAAGGAAAAACTTAACTCCTGAAGCTGAAAGGGGATAAACTAACCAACGTTTGTGGCTCATAAATGCAGATTATAAATGATAGAGAAATGGGTTCTTACCATTGATAGATAAATCGTTGGCACATTTCCTTAATCCGATTGTCATTCGAACGTTTCAGACAAAACAACATCTCAAACGGTTATCTGCGACTGAAAAGGGGAATTATTGGTAGTTAAGGGATATTCCGGTAATTACACCAACATACAAACATATATGGGTTGTACAAAATGTAAAAACGGTTGCACACTAATTACACATTCCATCAATACCCAGATGACTCATCAATGACAACTTAAAATGTATTAAATGGGGTCATTTCAATAAATATACCCAAATACATGCTTCCTTAAGTTGTATCTAAAGCTTTTAAACTAATACACAATATTTCACATTCCCAAAAAGCCCCCACCTATGCGGTTGAAATTTAACCTATTTTTTGACCAAAACTCAATCTTATATAGTATAAGAATTATAAATATATTTTGAATTGGGCTTGGAAGTTACAAAAATTTTAAAAAAGGAAGGCGAGTAATTATTCAAAACTTTAGGGGTGCTAATTGATACTGTGAGAAACCTCGGAGGTGGAAAGATGATACGATAATTGGCCTCAAACAAACAACGTGCATGATTGAAATCGAAACCCTGAAACCATTAACCAAACGCCTCCTAACGTTATCATTTCTCCTGTTTAACGCTCTGCTCCTCCGGCTATCAGTCATCGACAACAGTTGGAATAAACACGAACATCAGTATGGGAGGGTGAGAGAAAGTATTGCTATTCTACTCTTAATCAAAAGGGGATTCTCACATCTCAAGCGGTGCGGTTTGTCTTGTGGCGTCCTTCTCAGGGGCGCGGCATTGTTGCCCGGGAGGAGGGAAAAAGAGTCTGTCAATTGCGTTCCCAAGGAGAGGAGACGAGGGGAGAGGGGAAAGGAACCGTTACTGTTCTACTTGTCAAATTGCGTTGCGTCGAGGGAGGGCCATGATGGTTGGCTCTCATTTTTATTAGCGAGACATTCCAATATCGTATTTCTTCGCTCAAGCGAAAGGCCGACAAGAAAACATGCGGACCGTGTCATCGATACCAAAGGAGCCGGAGCAGGTGATGAAACAAAGAGATGGGTCCGTACTGGGGAAGAAGACGATACTCAAGAGCGATCATTTTCCTGGATGCCAGAACAAGCGCTTGATCCCGCAGATCGATGGTGCACCCAACTATCGCAAGGTTTCTCTCTACCCTTCGTTTCATTTTATTTTATTTGGTCATGTTTGATGAATGTAGACTAACTTCAAATTTAGCTTTCTTTTAATCCAATTGATGCATCAGGGAATCACATATTTCGGTCTTTCGTTTCTTAGCTCTAAATCTCACATCCCTGTTCACTTGATTGATTTTCTATCAGTTTGATTTTTCTTTTCCTTTTCATCTAATCAATCACTGTTAACCACCTACCATCCTTATAAATTGAAACTATACAAGTATCTTTTCAAAATAGCTGCCCAAGAAAAAGCATATAAAAATACATTAGCAGCTATGTTGGGCTTGTGTTTCTTGACTCAAACAAACTACCCTTTCTTGGCTAATGTTTCCAAGAACTTCAATTTATGTGGACTGTATGCAAAAATAACAATTTAACTGCCTTTGAGTTAATGCTGCCATGTAGGTTTTGCACCCATGTTTGACCATCCAGACACCAGAAACCAACATTCGAAGTCATACACAAACTCCATTCCTGAAATTCATCACTTGTGAGCTTGTTAAGACTGTTAATGTCAAGAACTTGCCTTGTTTCCCCAACCTAGAGGACGGTTGATTTGTCAGACATTACCTCTGTAGTAGTTCAGGATGCCGATGCCCGAATTGATTGGTGGGGAGGGATCATAACTGCATAATTTCTGATGTATTATAACCATTGTTTTGAGAATGAATTAAATGCAAAATGAGACCAACTCTTCCTTTACAAGAAGATGAGAAAAAAAGGTAGAGATTTAAAAGCAGCAAAATGAATTCTAATTCACTGAGAAAAGTTTTGATATATTACCAAATCTGTCTAGCTATAAACATTTTCCATGTAAATATCGATTTCAAATGACATGACATTACTGATATTGTAATTATGTTATGCAGCAAATTATGTGAATATAAATGTTAAATGGTTACAATCACTGTTGATAAAAGTGGAAAGAGATGAGAGAGAGAGGGAGAAGATAAATGAGAGAAAATGATGGAAGTGGGAACCAATCCTTGAACAAAATCAGCTTAGCGTCTGAATGCTATCTATAAAGCTAGTAACAAGACTATAAATAGGCAACTTCTAACACTATTTGCGAAAGCAAGTTACTTAAGTTTACATTCCTATAAGCAAAATAGAAATAGACAAAATAACTAATTGCAGTAATACTTAATTAAGCACCAACACACTTCATATCAAGAAAATTAGTTTGCTTAGATTTCAGTTTCCACAGCGGTCAAGTTTCCTCCAAACATGCAAGTTTGTTTTAACGCATCGACAGAAGCAGTTGCACTACACTTTTTGTTAACCTTGATTGTTGTGGTAGCAATCTGTGTAACAAAGTTTAAGGCTGTGTTTGAACCTTTAAGGTTTCTTCATAGCTCCATTATATACAGCATTGGCTCGACTACCTATACAAATAGCTTAGACAAAGTTTTCTTCTTGATATTGGCCTCAACAAAAAGTTACAAAAGGGAAAGATAGAATTAACCACCAAAAAGCAGTAATTTTGACTACAGATCCTATTCATTGAGGCCGGACCTGAAGTTAACTGTTGTCGATTTATGTGAATCATCACATCTTCCTTACATATTATGATACTGCGGCAGAGTTATTGGACTTAGAACTGTATTCTTCCACAAACATCATTTCTTGTACTTGTCATATGAAATTTGCTTGGAGATGCTGCTTATATTTGGCTACTACAGGAGGGCACGTTGTATGCTTTTCCATAACCCCCCATTTGCCTTACTATAGGTCTGTCAATGTTGAATCCGCCAAATTCTGTTTTAACTTTTATTACCATTCCTGATACAGAAGTAACCTTAAACTTGGGAACCTATGGGTTTTTAAGATTTTAAGTACCCATGTTTCCTGAAGAATTTAAATATGCCCCCTATCCCTATATAGAGCAAAAGAACGGCTGGAGTTCAATTGATTCCTAGCAAGACTCAAATTATAGCAAGAGGTTGTGAAAGATAAAATATTGTGGTTTGGAATATAGTTTGAGCCACTATGGGTTGTAAGGTCTTGAAAGTGGTACATGTTTGGTTATGGGTATGTTTTCATCACTATGGAAGACTTAAAAGTGGGCAATGGTCATTTCCAGAATATTAGAGCATTAAAAACCGACAAAATGAAATAAATAAATAAATAAAGAAAACACGCAGCAGGCCTCATTGTTGTCCTCTTCTCTGCATCACTTTTCTGCCCATCTCTCCTATCTTCATGGCTCTCTAATCTTTCCACTCCTAAACCCCTTGCTCTCTCCCTTCCCTCCGCCACTATTCATTCCTGTCTGTGCTTTTGTTCTCCCCCAACCGCCTCACTAGCAGAAGGCAACACTTGGTTGTTATGGCTGCCATGACTTTTTGTTTTTGGTGTATATATGTAGTTTGAATATAATATTTTGTAGTTAAATACCACTATTCAACCGGTTTTTATAAGTCTTGGGACTTTCCCATAAACATCAGTAGACTGAGCTTGACCTTAGTATAGTTTTATTTGCCTAAATGTGATTCAAGCTTATGGGACTGATGTTTGTCGATTGACTATCTATTTTGCTGTATTACCATGGAGACAATCATTTTGATGTCTTGATTTGGTTGGATGCAGCCTCAAGATGTTTATTGCTGGTTTTGGCCTTTTCTTGAGTTTTTGTTAATTTTGATTCAAAAAAAAATTTTGAGATCAATGGAGAATTTGAAGTATGGTCATGCTGAAGTTGTTGAGGGTAGTCATTGCCAGCGATTACCGAAAGTTGATATTGGCCGAGGAGATGTCATTTAAGTTTTTTCTAGTTTAGGTTTTATTGTTGAAACAGATAAAACTAAAAACAGTGATCACAATTGCAGTGAAAATACCAAAAATAATTTTCAGAAAAGGAATTCTTATAAACATATTACCATTTGAGGGGGTCATTATCGTTGTCATTTCATAGCTTGTGCCAAATGTCTAGTAGGCCTGCTAACATCTTCTTTTACCTTTTTGTCAAAAGGTTATACAATTGGATTTTGAAGTTTATATATGTCGAATCATTATTATGGGAGTACATCATCATGAGCTTTCACTAATCTCCTCTAACTCTTCTTTTGATCTCTAGAATTTTGTTTAGCTTTAAAAATCATTTTTCTATTGATTAGGAAAATATTTAAGAAACCTAAACAAAGTGTAAAATAGATCAGAAAACAGCTGAAGGGTGATCTGAACTACAGGTTTTTTGGGATCTTAATCGAGTAGCTCTTTAGGTAAAATGACAAGGATGGATTGTGTCTCTATTGGTGGAATAATTTTATGCTTTGTCATCAGTGATAATATACATTTCCAAACTACTTGTAGCATGACTAGCGAAATTTTGTAACAAAAATTTTAAAGAGATACAAAAACTTCCAAACTCTGAGAGGAGGCAACTGTATATTAGCGGACAATTTAAAGCTCTCTCGCTTCATAATACCCATTGAGAATGCAAAAGTAGACAAAGGTAGAGAAAAAACTGAGAACTAACACAATCACTGAAAATAAATTGTATACTTTAGAGGGTGTGATACCAATTGATGCAAGGCAAGATGGTTCAAGAGGAAGAGGAGAGAAGAAAGAAGGAGAACAAAGTACCAACTGGCACAAGAAAATGAACTGAATAAATGCAACTCTGTCTGCAAAGGTCACTACTGGATTTTTAATAGGTAATTGCTAACCTCAACTCTACAATGAGAGACAGCTGGCATAATTAATTTTACCAACTAAATCAGTTTAACTAAGCTACTATATGCAGACATAAATTAATAGCACAGTAGGACACTTCAGACAGATGTCCAAAGTGCCAATGTGTTGCTATGTCATCTATCTCTTCTTTTCTTTATTATGTTGTGGCTTTCAAAGGATGAGATGCTTACTCGTTTATGTTCCCAGGTTGATAGCTATTAGCATGTTTATCAATTATTTGACATGGGTTTAGAGGTGGTGTCATTTGTATTTATTTAAAAACCTTATTTGGTTCTCTGCTTCATCTTTAATTTGACTTTCAGAATTTGTTTGCCCTTGTGGAGTAGGCTGACTTGTTGCATGTCCACGGTGTTGCTATTCCAACCATTCATGGCATTAGAAATGTTCTAGACCACATAAGAGCTCAAATGCCGGGGAAGCAAACTCATGTCCTTTGGATTAATCTGCGTGAGGAACCGGTAATAACTTTTCATTTCTTCAACTTTCGAGGTTCAGTGCTATACCAATTCCAGCAACTTTTAATGTTGTTTATCTCATTTTTTTTATTCAGTGGGCTATCAAAATTGTAAAGGTTTTAAAGCTTCATAAACAGCAGAGCAACTTGTACGGTTGTCCACCTTTAACTTGCCTGCTCTAATATTTTGTATATCTACTTTTGGTGGGTCAAAGCCTTTTAATGCTTGGAAATTAAACTTAGGATCTTCACATGGTTTGATTGAGTTTTGACATGAACAATGATTTCATTTATTACACCATTATTGTTTTGTAACTTTATCATTTGCTGTTTTAGCAAATTTCATTCTTCATTTTTTTCAACTCTTAGTTTCCATTTTACTTGAAAACATACACTTACTTATCTTTGCTTGCTCTTCATTTTCTTAAAGGCGATTTTTGCTTCAGTTTGCTCTTTATTTCTTCAACATAGTAAACCTGTCTCCTTAATTCAGGCTGTTGAACTTGGAAGGTTTTTTAAAGCTTAATGTTGAAGAAAATAGTGACTTGTACAGTTATTTGCCTTTAACTTGCCTGCTCCAGCATTTTGCATGTATCTTTTTGGGACAAATGTGTGAAAGCCTTAATGGAAATGAAGAAAATCAAAGTTAGGATCTCTGCATGCTTTAATTGAATATTTTTTGCAGTAGTGTCATTCATTTAGTATTCATTTGTCACAACTTTTATGTGTTTACACTTTTTATTTTGGGGGGAGGGGTGCTATATTTGCCTCTTGAATTTCTTTGACTGATATTCCTGAGTTCTCCTTTGTTGTCTAAATTGAACATCATGCTGATTGGGGCGCTGTATATTGTGTTCAAGTTGTTGAAATACTTACAATTTTTGTAAATGTTTTTGAACCTGGTGAGTAAAATTTGGATGCTCCTAGGGAGTTCTGATTTAGCATTCATGTGTCTTGTTCTACTCCTGTCATTCTTGGAACAGGTGGTATACATAAATGGACGTCCTTTTGTCTTGCGGGATGTGGAAAGGCCATTCTCCAATCTAGAGTATACGGTTAGTTATACAGAGGAATTTCCCACTACATGCAGACTGCTGAGAATGTCAAATAAAGTTATTTTCCTCTTGAAAATAAAATTATTTTCCTCTTGAGCTTGTTACATTGTAACTAAGAATTTGTAGCTGTTATGAAATCAGGATTTTGCTGGTTAAGAGAAAGATAAGCAATATAAATTTTGAAACTTATGCCATGTCTTTTTTAATATAGGCTGTCCTCTTAACTGATATTGATGAGAATTTCTCTCAAAGCTGCTGAAGTTGCCTATTTCTTCCATGTAGCAAGTATATGGAGAAATGGATTTCTATTAACTGATATTTATGAGAATTTCTCTTAAAGAAACTGAATAGAAGGCTGCTGAATTGGCCTATTTCTTTGACGTAGTGATTGAAGTATATGAAAGAAATGGATTTCTTTTATATGCTCTCTCATCAGGAGGAAAATTTTCATAATTTGTCAAGCCAAAGCAGGCAAAAGGATTTTGCTTTAACTTTTTAATATTTTGAGTTGACTTTGAGAATGGCTAATCTTCAGGATTGATTTGTTGCTGGTTCTTTTGAGAATTGTATTTTTTTTGGGTCCCCTGTAGAAATTATCCAGTCTTGCGTCATTTGAATATTCTTTTTCATGCTGGATCTAGTAAAAATTTTTGTTTCAGTTTTTGTTTCCCCTTGAAACTCAAAGTTTTATGTTTAGCTTTTTTTTGGACCAAATTTTGGCACATTAAATTAGGGTATCAACAGGCAGAGACTGGAGCAAATGGAGGATCGACTAAAAGAAGATATTCTGCTTGAAGCTGCTAGGTACCTATTCTGGGTTGATCATGGCTCTCTATCTGTGTCTCTGTCTCTCTTTCTCTCCATGTTTTTTTCTTTGATCTGCCTTGTATCTTTTCGCTACACATCCAAATGACAGGTATGGAAATAAGATCCTTGTTACTGATGAGCTACCAGATGGTCAGATGGTCGATCAATGGGAACCAGTGACAATTGCTTCTGTAAAAACACCGCTGGAGGTATTTCAATTTGTTCAGAAGTGTCATGATTTAGTCGAGATTGGATTGCATCCAATTAAGTGCTTACTCCCATTCTAAACATTCATTTCAAAGCCAGGTGTATGAGGAACTGCAAAAACTAAAGTATCTTGTTGACTATGAAAGAGTTCCTATAACAGATGAAAAATCACCCAAAGAGCAGGATTTTGATATTCTTGTGAGTTTCTGCTGAACAGGCTTCTTTTGTAATACTCATGAGTCATCCTTTTTTAGTTTATTAATTTAGTTAACATCATGGAAATTGCAAACCCTATTCCCTTGGTTATTTTGTATTGTGTGTAAGAGTAGATTACTGAAGAACTTTAGATTGTTCTAGCAAATGCAGGATCTTATAGCACTTTTAGGACATTTTTGCCTGAAAAAATTGATGGCTAAAGAAGATTTGTTTCCATGCCTTCTTTTGTTGCAAAGAAGTCCTACACACAAACAGAAGTTGGATGTTCATATCTAATGATGATGCAATCAACTTAGCTTCACTTTTTTTTCATCATGATAGCATTAGGTCAATCTTGACTTGGTTTTACTTTTGTCCTTGTTTTAAAAATAAAGTAACTTTTAAATCAATGTGCTTGATATTGCAACAGTTTACATAGATTTAACTTTTTATCTTCTGTTATTGCTAGTCCTATAGACACTTAAAATTGTGATCTTACTTGAACAGTTAGTCAAACTGAAAAAAGACTTTACCTTACTGTGGTAAGATGTATCATCGCCATCATGAAAACATTTAATGCACTTATCTACCTGCATATTCTGCATATATTGGAAATACGATTTGTGAATATACCACATCATGACTTCAATTACCCCACAATTGACTTTCTGTTATTTGTTGGCAATGTCATTAGGGTACTCAGTTTCCTATAATATGCATCGATGCATGGGCTTCTCTCTCTCTCTCTCTCTCTCTCTCTCTCTCTCACATACTACTTTTAGGTTCAAAAAATTTCTCAAGCTGATATGAAGACAGAGATAGTATTTAATTGCCAAATGGGACGTGGAAGAACGACAACCGGGATGGTGATTGCAACATTGATTTATCTTAATCGACTAGGAGTTTCAGGTAGTATTTACATAGATCATGTGTTCTCCTATGCTTTTTACCTCTTGAGCTGTACGACTGCCCTCATTTACTCAGCTATTTACAAGAAAACCTTACCACTATTACTTCACTTGTTTTGATCCTAAATACCTTATTCTGAAATCTGTGCTAGTGTATCTTGAATTTAGTTTTGCCTTGTTGGTGTTGGGGTGAATACAAGTTTTATATTGCTAATGAAATAGCGAAGGGTAATATCACCTTTACACTATGAAGCTAAAAGCTTAACACAACAATGAAGGATTAAACTGAATTGCTACTAATCTAAAAGCTTAACACAATGAATATAGCAGATGATCCATGAGATAAAACCAATTGACAGCTAGAGATTTTGAATGGCCTTCTTTCATATGAAAAGCAAGCACTATGCACCTTGAGTTTTGTATATGCAACACACCTGAAGAAAACTTGCTCGGTTCTGGAATCATCCATCCTTGTAACAAACCTTAGACGAATACTTTTTACTACTCTCATCTTCTGTTAACTTTATGATCAATCGTTCAACAGGTATTCCCAGGACCAATTCAATTGGCAAAGTTTCTGACTGCAGTTCAAGCATCACAGACAATTTACCAAATTCTGAGGAAGCAATTCTTAGAGGCGAATATGCTGTCATTAGAAGCCTGATTCGGGTTTTAGAGGTGTGCAAAAGTAGCTCAACATTAGTTTCCGTAATTTGACGACTGGAAGATTTTGTTGAAATTATATTGACTAGAGGTATGCCTTAAGGGTGGTGTTGAAGGCAAAAGACAAGTTGACAAAGTCATCGACAAATGTGCTTCAATGCAGGTATTGAGTTTCTTTAGAGCTTTGCTTTATTTTGGATTTGTTTTATTAGTAATCATTCAATTTAAAAGCAAGCATTGATGCAATAGGCAAAAGTAGCCTCTTAGCTTGTCTGGGAAGGCTACATGCACCAATCATGTCCCCCCAAGAGTTGCAGAAGCTTTAAACTTTTATATTCTTATGACATCACATTGGTTTATCCCTTTGTAACTTCTCCTGCAGAACCTAATGCTTATTTGTCTGAAGAAAATTTTTCACCTATGATATCAGTGGTTTGTTTATTTTGATTTTGCTCCAAGAAGATTTTACTGCCTTCTAGCTTTATGGACAGCTATCTTTCTTGGCAATTGTATTTCTTGTATTCTAAGTTATTCATCTGTGACCTAATATCAGAACTTACGTGAAGCCATTGCTACTTATCGCAACAGTATATTAAGGCAACCAGATGAGATGAAGAGGGAGGCATCACTATCCTTCTTTGTGGAGTACTTGGAAAGATATTACTTCCTAATTTGCTTTGCCGTCTATCTCCATACAGAAAGAGAAGCACTTAATGCTAAACTCCCAGATGGGTGCAGTTTCACTGACTGGATGAAAGCAAGGCCAGAGTTGTATAGCATAATCCGAAGGTAAAAGAGAATTCTACTGCAGAAACTGTGATGGATCTATGCTCATGTCTTTGATTTAGAATGAAAGAGTCACTTCTGCTTGCTCCTCCAAAGCTAACTGTTTGCCATGATTACAATTTTGCCTCAATCTCACCCTTGTGATTGAATAAGCTTTGGTAGACTTGATACTAAAACTCAGAGGATCATGTAGGCTGATATTTGTACGAGATAAATCTAACTGCTGAATTGAGCCATAAATACAAGTTGGAGGAGAGGTTCTTAGCACAAGTAGAATTAATGAGAAATATCTTACTTAGACTTATTTTGGATGGCATTCAACTGTAACTCGTCATTTAACATTAGTTGTCATTATAGATAAGTCAGCAGCTTTTTTGTTCTCTTTAGTGAGTGTCAACAAATGTTCCCACATATATCTTCCACCTCCCTCAAAAGCATAGGGGAGAGAGCAGCTCAGGAAGTGACTGCATGCCCAAAACATCATACCAGGTAAACTGCTCTTCAGAGCCTGCAAGCATGTTAAAGCTAGAGCACTGATCCTTGGGCGAGATAGCAAAAGCCTATATAGCAGGTTTAGAGGTCTCTATGTTATACTGTTCTCGTCTGAGAATCTTTGCACTTGAATAGATCAACTTTTCTGTTAATTAGCAACCTCTCTTATCGATCTCATGCAGGAATAGTAACATAAACCCTGTGCAAATAATAGGGCACTTCATCCCCACAGTGTGTCATCATGTTAAAATTTTGCCTCTCGTCTTTCTCTCCCCCCCCCCCCCCCCGCCCCCAAAAAAAAAAAAAAAACCGAACTCCCTTCTCTCTTTGTCCCGTTAAGTGTTTGTTCATTTTGACACAGTAGAGGGAGATCACCTGCCTTAGAGTCCAGCCTCATGTCTCTAGATATCCTTATTTCTCTCAAATTGATTAAGCAGAAACTATTGACATGGCACAAAGCTGATGGTAGTCCAACAGATTTTTATAACAGATTCTCAAGCTTAGAACTCATTCGGAAATCAAAACATTATAGGGTAAAATTGCTGGCACAAACCATAATAAGCAAGTAACAACAGAACAGATAAGTAAAGAAAAATTGCAGGAAATGTGCAAGTAAGAAGGAGGTCAGATTAACAAACTCCATGAATTGCTCCTAGAAACCCTTAGGTATCACACTCAAGGCTAGTTTGCATCTCACAACCTCAAGAAGACAGCAAGTATTCACGAATATTTATTAACAAAGAAAATCTGTCTTATCTTTGTGGAGAAGTACAATACTTATAGACCCCTAGACCGAATCTGACTTTAACTCCAAATAAGACTCTCAAGTAAAACAGAATCATATCACTCTTTTTTAAAAACTAAATCCTAATTACTAAACAGAAAACTACCATAAACATAAAATTACAAAATTAAAAAGTTCCTGCAAGAAGCTAAATTAATAATATACACCTAAGTACTAAAACCTGGAAATCTGAAGAAGAATAAATGACTGATGACTCAAACTGACTCTATAAAGACTCTTTTAAAACTGAGAGTAAATTCCAGATAATACTCTATATCTTTGAATGTGTGCCTAATCGAAGCTTGAGCAAAATTCTGGAATTCCTTGAGCCATTCATTGTCTGCATTACTATGTCTAATACTGCTTCCAGTTGAGTGGTTTTGTTTGCTTAATCTTAGTTTGTGGCGCATACCAAAAGAGAGGATGGAAGTCTGGCACCCAGTCTCTTATTATTAGCTTGGCTCCACTTGCGAGCTTTTCATAGACAAGATTTGATGATCAAGGATGGATACTTAGATGTTAAAAATGCACAAGTGCTATCAAAAGCTCTTATCAAGACAGCATAATAATTTAATCCTGGACAACTAGTCATGTATAGCATTTTCACACATGGGCATAGTCACCTTAGTATGTTTATATTTCATTGTACAAAATAAATTATTTTTCTTGGTACAGGTTGCTAAGGAGAGATCCAATGGGAGCACTTGGACATACAATTTTGAAACCATCTCTAACAAAAATTGCAGAATCTGCTGATGGCCGCCCCTGTGAGATGGGTCAAGTTGCCGCAATGAGAAATGGGGAGGTACTTGGCAGTCAAACTATTCTTAAAAGCGATCACTATCCTGGCTGTCAAGACTCTAGTTTGTCAGAAAGAGTAGATGGTGCCCCCAATTTTAGAGAAATTCCTGGTTTTCCAGTATATGGTGTTGCCAATCCTACTGTGGATGGGATTCGATCTGTCATCCAACGCATTGGCAGCTGTAAAGGTGGGCGCCCTGTGTTTTGGCACAACATGAGGGAAGAACCTGTTATCTACATCAATGGAAAACCCTTCGTACTTCGTGAAGTTGAAAGACCATATAAAAACATGCTGGAGTACACGGTATTTTCAATCTGAGATATGTCCCTTTGTGCATATTCATTATGATGACATCACTGATGGTACATTAGAACATTCAACTTATTTCGTTTTTATTCTTTTTTATTGGGCCAAACTACTGTAGTTTTTTTTTTTTCAGAAGAGCATGGCTTAGCTTGATTTGCTGAATTCTGCAGTTCAATTTTCTGCCCTAGAGTCTTTGATTAGTCTATTGATTTTCATAACATCCCCATAGAATTTGAGAGGTTTGATTATTTCCTTCGGAGGGAGCACAATTCTGAGAAACCAAAGTCAAATGGACACAGAACTTACCAGATGCAACTTGAGCATATGAACGTTGAAAGCTATGCTAGAAGCATCAGTAATTTGACTGAAGTCTAGAATTGCAGATAGATTTACTGTATACCGAATAAATCACAATTTATATTCTTTCAGACCACTAAAGCATTTGATTGCAAAACATGCATCCATGGCTTCTAAAAAATTACACTTTTTCATACTTTCATGGATTTTAGGCTAGTGTCCTAGTTCCCAAAAAATGGTAAAGTTACCTTAAAAAAAAAAAGATAACGTTTAAGGGCTGTACATCTGCGGAGCAGAACCCTATGACTGATGTTTTTCGAAGGGAGAAGTGTACTTACAGTTCCCAACAGCAGAAAACAGAGACCTCTATTCGGCTGAAAATCCAAGATACACAAGGAAAATTTACAGACCAAACTGAAGGACTTGAATATGCAAAATGTGCTATTATAATTTTTAGTGCTTTTGTTAATACTAAACTGATGCAGAAAGGATATTGATATTTAGTGCTGAAGTAGTAAATCTACATTGTAAAATTTATTGCCAAGATACAACGACAAGAAGTGGAGAAATAAGAGGTCTAGATTTAAATAAAAAATGAGATGTAATCTGCAGGATTAGTTATCTATAAGTTCTAGAAGCTAAGATCTAGTCCTTCCTGCAGCTGTTTAGATTTTTAAATAAGTGCTTTGTTGAAAAGATATTGCACACATTTTGTCAGAAGATTAAGGATTGAAGCCAAAGTGTCAAGGAATTGGCCTAAAATGTAGGACTTTCCCCTAGCATCACTTAGTGCGAAAATATTGATTAAGTAAACAGATATTAGCAAGTTCTTGGATGATAATTGCTAGAAAATTCTGTGTCAATGTTTTTAGTGTTGTTTGTGACAGTTTATGTTGAATAATCAGTGTGTTCACAAATGATTAACCCGTATTATCCTTAATCATAACACATCATTAATAGGGAAAGGAAGAAATATCATTCTGCACAAATAAATATTGTTAACCTGCATTGGTGGTCAATATTGTATTTCTTCTGCAATTAAGGGCGCATGTATTCATCATGACGTACACATCTAATATTGGTTATTCATGATTTATACTCTGATTTGAAGTCTATAATATTGACATGTCTTTTCCATTTTTCCTTTGCTTACAATATCTTTTCCTTTGCTTTCATATATCATCTTTTATACCATGATGTTGGGGGTGTAGGAGATTGGAACTGTGTCTGGTATTTGCAATTGCTTCTTATTTGTTGCTTTCTTTAAGGGGAAATATTGCCATATAACCATCTTGGACCTGTTCTTAAAACCGAAATCTTTCTCCTGGAAGTGCAGTTACCTAAGTATATGTCGCTGTTATAAAACAGATCAAATTTAAACTCCTATTTGAAAATTTGATTTCTGGAATTACATCTTGATGTCTGTTACTTTTGTGGTTATAGTAATCAGAAAAATGGTGGTAAATGTACCACTTCTTTTTAAATTCCAATTTGTAACTTACTACTAAATATAAGAGTTTCATTTCGGATTTACAAGTTTATTGTGTCTGGTGTCTGTTGCTTTTGTGTTTATACTAATTGGAAAAATGCTGGTAAATGTACTTTTTTTTTTTCATTTCGTGATTATATGCTATTACAAAATGCAATTCTGGCAGCTTATTTGCTGGGATATTGCATCTAGGGGATTGACTGTGAAAGAGTCGAAAGAATGGAAGCTCGTCTGAAAGATGATATTCTGCGAGAAGCTGACCTTTATCATGGGGCTGTAATGGTTATTCATGAAACCGATGATGGTCAAATATTTGATGCCTGGGAGAATGTGAGGCCTGGTGCAGTTCAAACCCCATTGGAGGTCTTAGTTGCCTAGAGGCTGATGGTTTCCCAATCAAGTATGCTCGTGTGCCAATCACTGATGGTAAAGCTCCCAAAAGTTCTGACTTTGACTTACTGTCAATGAATATACATCTGCTTCAAAGGACACAGCTTTTGTTTTTAACTGCCAGGTAGAACTTGTCTTAACGTATAGATACTGAATTCTTTGACTTCTTATAACCATTTCAAATTTGTTTTCTTTGGAAGACCTGTTCTTTTCATGCCCTATTGGATAGCACTTTTTTTCTGGTTGGTACGGTACATTAGTTCTATTATGACCCTGATTATGATTTTTTTCCCTTATATGTGACAGATGGGTATAGGAAGAACAACCACTGGTACTGTAATTGCTTGTCTTCTAAAACTTCGAATAGATTATGGAAGACCTATTAGAGTATTAACTGATAATACATCACCTGAAGAGTTCGGTGGTGGTATATCAAGTGGTGATGAAAGCGAATGTCATGCTTCAACATCTACAGCAATGACGACAAAACCTCAAAGATACACAAGTTATGCATTTGGGATAAATGACATTCTTTTGCTATGGAAGATAACAAGATTGTTTGACAATGGGGTTGAGTGCAGAGACGCCTTAGATGCTGTAATTGATAGATGTTCAGCTTTGCAGAATATTCGCCAAGCTGTCTTGCAGTACAGGAAGTTATTCAATCAGCAACAAGTTGAGCCTCGGGAGAGAAGAGTGGCACTAAACCGGGGTGCTGAATACTTGGAGCGTTATTTTCGTTTGATTGCTTTTGCAGCATATCTTGGTAGTGAAGCTTTTGATGGATTTTGTCGACAGGGAGATTCAAAGATTACGTTTAAGAATTGGTTGCTTCAGCGACCAGAAGTTCAAGCCATGAAGTGGTCCATTCGGTTACGGCCTGGGCGATTCTTTACTGTCCCTGTAAAGCTTCTCTTATTAAACACCTTTTGTCTGGGTTTTGTGGTTTTCTTTTGCTTCTGTTTTACTCTGCTGGCATTTTTGTAAATTCAGGAGGAACTGAGAGCTCCACATGAATCTCAACATGGAGATGCAGTAATGGAGGCCATTGTCAAGGATCGCAATGGTTCAGTTCTGGGCAAAGGATCTATACTGAAGATGTACTTCTTTCCTGGTCAAAAAACTTCAAGCCATATACAGATTCATGGAGCACCACATGTATACCAGGTATGCTGGACCATTCAGTAACAAGTAAAACAAACTGGAAATTTACCATAGCAAAATGGTGTGTCAGAAACTTTGATTTAGTATCTCATTTCTTGTGTTTGTTGACCTTCAAAATCCAGAGTAGGCCATCGATTGCCTGGTAGAGGCCAATTTGGTATACATATATAGGAGAATTTAGACATCCTGCGTAAAAGAGCTAGTTTGTGCAATTCAATGTGAATTGTCAATTACTATGGTATCAATAACAGCAAGCGCAGTTTTGCCATTCTGGCTTATTGGATAAAGAGCCAATTATAGATTTGCTAGAACTTTTTCTGCATCAAACTGGATGACCTACTTTTTCTTTTTGTTATGTTATAGCACAATGTTCTGAAAATCATATTTCTTTTCCTTCTTAAGAATGATATATGAAGATTATCATGTCCTTTTGATGGATTAAGTTGTTAAATTGCAAAAATGTACATGGCTGTTGCTTTTTTACTTTATTTTATCCTCGCAGCTAGCTATTTGGACCATCATTGAGAACAGACAGAGGCTTATCATAATGCTCTTACTAGCTTTGTAATTTAATGGCTACACATCCTTCTTCACTTTCTAGCTCAAACAAGCTATCCTAGCATCTATGTGCGTACATCTCTGAATACTTTATTCTTTTCATGCCAAAACAAGTATTTTACTGCTCATTTCCTAACACAATTGGGTATTCAACATTTCTACTCTTTCTCCCCCTTTTTGTTTATAAAAGCCAAGTCTTTCTATATGATACCACTAGTCATGACACAGTATTCACTCTCATCTCTCTCCTCTCTTCCCTTTCCACTTTCTCCAGTGTCCTCCTTGATTTGGTGTCATGTTAAGAACCTTCTCTTCCCACCTTCAACATAAAAATGTTGCCCGACTCTCCCTGATGCTCTCAAAGAAGAATGTAAGAGTTAGCTGTATCAGTTTTGAACCCCCAACTTTCTGATTGTTAGGTACCTGCTAAGACAAGGTACCAGGATATAAGTTCTAGTACAAACTCTTTATTTCAATTGTAGATAATCACAATTTGTCTAGACCTGTAGTTAAAATTTAGCAGATGCAGCCTGAATGAAAAGGATTAGATGTTGTACTTGGATGATAGTCCAAACAATTCAACTTGAATTTCAAGCTGCTTTTGCAAAAGTACCTGCTTGATCTTATGTAGGATAATGCATGTTTTTGTCTCTGTACTTCTGTATATCAGTTATTTTGTCAGTCCTACTCAGTAATATGATTACACTCTAGCTCTTAATGAGTTTTTGATGTTTGGAAAACTGTAATCAATGAAATTTTATCCCACAGATACCAATATTTTTCACTCATATGATCTTGTCTAGTTTGTCTGGAAGATTAGGAGATCCTCTAAAGAAATTATGGATTTTCTTTCTGGAAGTAAAATGGCTTAATCTGTTTGTATGGGGCAAGTTAATTTGATTATTCCTTTCAGGTGGATGGTTATCCTGTATACAGTATGGCAACACCAACAATTGCGGTGCAAAGGGCATGTTAGCATACCTTGGTGCCAAGCCTGATCCTACTGGAAGCACTCCTCAGAAGTTAATGTAACTGATCTGAGGGAAGAAGCAGTTGTTTATATCAATGGAACGCCTTTTGTGCTCAGGGCGCTGAATAACCCTGTTGACACGCTGAAACATGTTGGAATCACTGGTTCAGTTGTACGTCTTTATTTGCTTTACTGCCACTTTGCAGGGTCCAAAAATAAGGCTGGAGGTACTAGTTGCATATCCAATGTATCCTAACTTTGTTTCCTCACTGCTTCATAGGTAGAACACATGGAGGTACGACTTAAAGAAGATATCATAACAGAGATTAGACATTCTGGTGGTCGAATGCTTTTACACCGTGAAGAATATAGTCCAGTGTCAAATCAAGTCAGTGTCATTGGATATTGGGAGAATATATTTGCAGATGATATCAAGACTCCGGCTGAGGTTTATGCAGCTCTGAAAAATGAATGCTATAATATAGCATACAGGAGGATACCTTTAACTAGAGAGAGAGAGGCTCTGGCCTCTGATATTGATGCTATCCAGTACTGCAAAGATGAGTAAGTACCATAATTAGTTATAGCAAAGATAAAGTGGTTTTTCATGATCTTAGCTGCATATCAACTTGAAAATTGAAATGTCTCCTATCATGTAGAAGGCTGTGTCAGGGTACCATCATGTAATCTTCTAATTGGTTAGATTCTTTCTAAAATATGTTCTTTAATGGAATGTTGAAACTTAATGGCAGGGGGGATATTTATTATAGCTAAATTGAAAATCGAATAGTAAATTGGCAAAATCTAAGTGGTTCTTGTTGTAATTAATCCTTATCAGAATTCAAAAATTTTAACAACAGAACAATTCAACACTTTTTAGGACAAAACGTCAGCTACTGCCTCCCTAGTTTTGCAAAATGACATAAACCTCCCTTCTAGGTTTTACATTATTGATGACCTTTCCACAATTAACTTTGATTCAATGGTGTTAATTATTCTGTAGAAATTTAGGCCATCATCAGATGATATTTCTGTACCTTGTAAATATTATATCTGTTTTATTTTTTTTTATATGTACCTGTCTGCCTTTTATGATTATAGCTAAAGTTAACAGTAGGGAACGTATTGTGTACATCTATTGAACATTAGGGGAAGTATCTTAAAAAGCTAGAAGAAATGCGAGTCTTAACCACCTTTTATGCTAGTTTAGTATTTTACCTTTTAACTGTTTGACCATCGAAGTCTTCTAATATCTTTTTATCTGGAAATGTTGTACTTGCTTGTTGGATTCTTATTGCACTTTTATTATTGGTAGAACAATCTTAACAAAACTGACTAGATTTTTCTATAATATATACATTTCTATCCTATTAAGTATAGATGCAATGGTTGGTGGTCTAACTTGTAAAGTTTTTGAACTAGCTGGTGACGTAACATTGCCATCCAAACTTTGAAGGTTTCATACCATCTTTCGTCTCAGGTACATCAGCATCCAGGTTTGATGACTAAAAAAAAAAAAAAAGATGTTTAAATGTGTATATCTGTAGAGAACTGTGTGGTTCTAAGCATATCCATTATGTATTTGAAGTACGTATATACTGTGAAACCATGTAAAGATTAATATTTGACTATTTGAAGTACCATTGCAATCTTTATGCGTCCACTAGACATATTCTGAAACCATAGTGAAGCCATATATTACATATTGGATGCTCTCAGTTCTTGATGAAATGTGAATTTTGTGTTATATGCGATGTGGACTATGATTGGTAGTAAAAGAAGGCATGCAAATTAAGATTATAGTGATGATTTCAGAGTAAAATGATTCAGCAACATCTTTGGTTTTTTCTTCAATTCCTTTCCATCTCAGTTCTGATTAAATAATGATGTTGTAAATGAACTGAATTTATTTCTTTCATTTTTTTTTTCTGGCTTAAAAAAAGCTCTGCAGGGTCTTATCTGTTTGTATCACACACAGGATTTGGAGGGGTTGCCTACGCAATGGCTATTCTTTGTATTAAACTTGAAGCAGATGCAAACTTGACATCTGTAGTGGTTGCTCCGAGATCTGTAGTGGTTGCTCCACATTCATTCCCTTTACTGAGGAGAAGCTAGCTTCCCAAACTTCTGATGAAGAAGCACAGCAAATGGGTGATTATCGGGACATATTAAGCCTTACGAGAGTTCTGAGCATGGTCCTGAGAGCAAGGCGAACGTTGACACCGTTATAGAACGGTAAGCGATTCTTTTCATCTAATAAAAGGAATTTCCTTATCTTGTTAAGCTTTGAACTTTTTTGCGGGTGGTCATCAATTCATCTTTAAGATCTTGATGAGATCATAGTTCTCATGTCCTTTTCCTGCTTCATTAAATTATTTCTTGCAAATTTATAACAATATTTGGCTTCGTGTCCTTCGATTCAAGCATTGTACCACCATCATTTAGGCCTGGACTAGACATAATAAGTTGCGTCAGGTTCCACCTATCTAGTTAGATGATGTAACCAATGAAAATGCAGAAGTGAGTTGAGTTACGGCTAAATGACCAGCAAGAGCCTTTGAGCTTTGGCATCATCTTGACAGGGAAACTACTTCATTGCTATGGCATCCAAGTCGTGCTGTAGCTGTGTTCTGCTCCGTGTTCAAAAGGGAATCAGTTTTGATCAACTAATGAGAAAAGGGAGAACTAATAAATGGCGTAAGATCCAGGGTAGAGTAGGCTTTGGGTGGAACATGATGAATTTGAAATGAAGTGAAAAACTTTATTGTAGTAGAATTCTCATTCATAGTGAATTAACTACTGCTGGGGTTTGACGTTGATGATGATGCAAGTCCCTATCCCTGATTTTGACGAACTTGGTTCTTGAATTTTCCATGCTATTAAAGGTGTGCGGGGCAGGACATTTGCGTGATGATATCTTTACTATGCGAAGGAACTTGAGAAACTTCCTGATGATGATGATGAGAATCGGGCATACCTGACTGACATGGGTACTAAAGCTCTAAGGTTAGTTGACGTTTTCGCTAGTGAGTTTTGTAAGCATTGACTACGAGGTTTTTTATCTAGGAAACCTCTGCGTGTTTAGGTTTAGGTGCCATGTTTCGGCTATCTGGAAAAACCTAAATTAGTGTAAAGTAATCCTTCATAACAATTTCTTTTTTTTTTTTTGGGCATCCATTTTCAGGCGATACTTCTTCTTGATCACATTTAGATCTTACCTCCACTGCACTTCTGCGACTGCGACTGAGACGAGATTTACTGCCTGGATGGATGCAAGACCGGAGCTCGGCCACCTGTGCAATAACCTGAGGATCAAATGATGGTGGACCGGACCGACCATTGGCCGCTTAAAAACACAACCGGAAGCTGGCTTTCCTTGATAAATAGTAGTGGTGGCAAGCAAAAAGATGCATATTCGCTACATGGATGAAAATAACGCCACAAATAAAATAGTTATTTTCCTCTAACTTCATCATAAATAATATGAATTACAGTTGGAAATGCTATGACTATTCGTTTTTTAACATGAAGTGTAATAGTATGATTTTTTATGAGAAGAACCCAAATAACTTGGGCCGTTTGGAATCGTTTGCGTTTCTTTTTTTTTTTTTCCTGTTTGTTTGTGCGTAGAATTTGACATACAGAGAAAAAAAAACACAGTAATTATCAAAATCGTTAATGGTTTACAGCAAAGAAGAGAAGCGTTTATGAACATGAATCTTGTTTTTAAAACACTAAAATGTTTAGAAATGTTCATTCTAATCTTTTTCTGGAATCACATTCCTCAAAAAATCCGCAGTTCAGAGCAGCACGACCCCCACTTTGATCTTCAGATTAACGTCTCCTCATTCAAGCTTTTGTGTAACTGAGAATGACCTCCATTGTCCTACCTCTACAAAAGCACACAATGTGCTTGGACTTGGATGCCCTCTTCCACTCTCTGGGTTCCACTACTGGGAGGGAGTTCACAACAAAAATTTGTCCATCCACATGACATTGTGAAGAAGCTCCTGGCACCTCTTATTTCTTCTGCTTCATATGGAAGCTTTTCCGAATCATGCAAAAAATATACTTAACATCTAGAGCTCCTTCAGAAGAGGATAGGAGCTCAAATCCCCATCACGTCCTATTATTCCATCCATATTATCTGATGGTTATATGATAAGAAGATCAATTGCTTTTCATGAATCATCATAAGATAATAAAGTCAATTCAATAAGAATTTAGATGGTCGGCTGTTACCGTTCTAAAGGAGCTCATACGTCAGTGGACTCAAAACCAAAGCAACAAAAAATTCTTGCTGGTGGCTGATCAACAAAACTGCCACATGTCCAACTGAACAACCATCACTACTGTATTTAGAGAAACTGGTACACCCACTTCCCGCCTTGCCCTTCTCCGAGCAGACAGCCGTTTTGACACATTTTCAGGATTTCTCTGCCAACTGGTGGTCCCTCTCAAGATAGTACCACGAGGATTCTTATGCGCTATAATTTGAGCCTTTGGGATGCCAGCCATAAAAAAAAAAAAAAAAAAAAAAAAATCAGTCAAATCCAAGTGATACCCATATAACATCTGGAAAGGGTAAGCAACAGCCCCATTTGGTGATCCCAAGAAGATCAGTCACATCCAAGTGAGTTCCACATAACATCTGGAAAAGGTGAGCAACAGCCCCATTTGGTGTTTGACGATTGATCTTCGAAGGGCTGTGGAGAAGTAGGGCTGACGAGTGGAGTCTACCGTCAACATCCAGATTGCCTGACACAACACCTTGTGCATGCAGCTACATAAGTTCAAAGTGACATTGCTTCTTTTTCTAATAATCCATAATACTTAGCTGGTTATCCATCCATGAGCATTAATTTCATTTTGTGTAACAAGTCACTTCACTAAGTTATATAGGCTACAAAATCTCACAAAAGAGGTTAAACTGACATAGAAAGACTAGCACTGTGGATGCAATCAGCTGAAACAGACTAAGCACTGAGCACCTCAGGATTCAAGAAATTCTTGAATTTGGCTAAAATTTCATTATTTTTTGTCATAGTCAGATGTTAAAAAGGCTGGAGCTGATCATATAAGTCTATTATCTTAAATTCCTTATTTAGGCCTACTGTTTGATAAGCGAATCTTGCATAGCTTAAGACGACCGATGCAAATTAAAAGAATTACAAAAACTACTTTACAGCCCTACACGCAAATTAAAAGAATAGCAATGATTAGGAGAAACTGAAAGGGCAAGAAGCAGTAGAAGTTTGCTGAAATCATTGCAGAAATCATATAGTACCTTTTGCGCACATTTGTTAAAAAGAAAGAATCTTGAGAAGAAGAGGCAGATTTTAGTAGATGAACAACATGGTTTGATTAACTAGAAAAAAATTCCACACACTTAATGATAGTACAAGTCAAAGGTTAAATAAGGCATCTTCGGGTGTTCAACGAGGCCAATATCACGTATAGCCTCCTTGAAGCTTGTCACAGACTTGCAGTGCATAATTTGGTAACAAAACCTAAATCATTTTGCAAGAGAAAATCCATTGCAAGTTGGTATCATCTAAAATGTTTCGATGAAGTTTATCAACATGAAGGGACAGACTTACGCTTGAAATCATAAGTCAAAGTAATGGGTAAGTCATTCATAACCAGAGACTTTGTTCTGAATTGCTCTCTCTGCTGCTTCTTTTATACACAAGAGATTCATTTTTATCTCCCGACAGAGTCTGCCTTGAACAAGGTGCACGGGCAACCAAACTTTAGGCTCCACATCCACAATATAAGAAAGATTAGTATGAAATTCTTGGCCTTTAATAGAATCGGCTATATCATAGTCTCCTGTACTGATCTGCACTTCGAAAGCTTTGACAATGTTAGCACTTGTATGCATGTATCAAACAAGGACAGTATTTCCGGATACAAAATCTGATCAGTTAACGCAAACAATTTGCTCCTACTTGCTGAAGGAAAGATCAATTGATAAGGCAGTTCTTATTGAACAAGGAGGTCACTAAGATGCTGTGCACTTGGGAGAAAGGGATGGAGAATACAAAAAGAAAAAAGACCGGAGAGAGAGAGAGTTCCACCTGCTCAACGCACCACTTTCCTTGGAAGAGTTGGAAGTCACCTTCAATCATCTCAAACTCAATATCGCGCCTTTTACCGAAGGGCAAATTCTGAATTTCTTTCTCGTAACAGTCAATGACACCTTTGGCTTTGAATTTTAGTCCAAATGCCAGGTTTTGCTGCCCAATCTGCTCAAGATACACTGACGATCAAGAACAGGCTGATATTGCAGCAAGACTGAGACAATGTCACCAAGCACCCATTTATATTGCTATATTGGGCAGACGAATGACTCTGATTGTAATGGATGATAACACAAACAGGGTCGAAAAGTAAATAGAGTTTCCAAATTAACGTTTTTACAATGGGCAAAAAAGAGCTTTCTTTACATAATATATCAAAAAATTACACGCATACACAGGCACGCACCCGAAAAAAAGAAGAAGAACGAAGAAGAAGAAGCTGGGAGGCACGAGGAGGAGGAGACCTGAAAGAGACGGACAAAATTGTCCGTCTTCTGGAGCAGCTGGCTGACTGCAAGACCCGGTATAAAGTCGGCCAATTTCTCATAGTCGGTCAAGACGTTCCAGACGGATTGGAGGCTGGCGTCAACGGAAACCCTGGATTGGATCCTCCGACGGTTGTAGCCAGTTTTTTGAATCTCAATATCAACGTCATCCAATTCCTCGTCGCTATCAGTAAGCCGATCAGTATGATGGGGACCATCGCCACTGTCTTTGTAAGCATCCGGGATGCTCCAATTAAACTTAGACGGACTATTATAGCGTGTCCGATTAGTAGAAGCATTAGTAGAAGAAGAGCTGAATTTGGGCCTGTCACTGTAACACAAAATCAGTAGAGAAGGGCTTCTGCAGCCTGCTTTTGAGTCTGACGGCGCACCACCGCCAGCAGCACGGGTATTTGTTGTAAAAGTAATCGTACTTCTGCTGACGGCGGCTTTCCAGCTGTGCGTCGTGTGGATGCTACTACTTGTATTAGTATTGTGGCCGCCATATTTGAGCTTCATTTTTCTGTTGCACTCCCAAATCCTACCAGTAGTGCTCTTCTGCTATGATGGTACCTGTGTCGGGTTGGCCGGACATTAATATGTGGTTAGCTTCCGACTGACCGAGAATTATTATTGTATACAGACAGTAGTACCCCCAACCCCATGAAGCCAACTCTTAAGTCTTACCCCCCCCCCCCCTTCGAACAACTTTGGGAAAAATAATAATACTCCTAGTCCTACTACTAACTGATAACGCTGCCTTTACAACCACCAACCATAAAAACTAACTATACACATTATCCGCAAAATAATAAAAGATTGCTCAAATTTCACGGGGAATTTTTTTTCATTCTAAAAGACTAATAATTTCCCCCCGTCCCTTGCCCCGCTTCTTCCGCGAAACTAATAAAAATTTATCATATAATTTTATTATAGTCAAATTTTAGCAAATAAATAAGTATTAAAATATTAACATATTATTAAATTATTATATATTATAATTTCATTATTAAAACTCATAAAAATAATCAAACAAAAGTTATTTGAATACAACCCTACATAATAATGAAACAAATACAACTAAAATAGTTAATTTTTCACTTTTGATACAAGTCATTATTGTGTTTTTTTTTTTAAAAAGTGTTATTGTATTTTTTTTGAGAAAAATTCCTAAAGTAGTCAAATTATCATGTTGGATAATTTTTCTACATATGCTATAAATTTTTTCTACAACTTTTAGAAAAGTTTTAGTAAAATTTTTGATAAATACCTAAAAAATTCATTTGTCAAATGATGTCGTGGTTTTGTAGTATAAAACCAAAAATCCATCTCTCCTGATTATCACTTTTTGACCCATCAACGAAGCCAATCCGCTCGTAAGAAGTTCCAACCCAACAGAGCTTTTTGATGCCTAAAAGGAAAAAGAAACGATGCAATGGTCATGCCAGTGATTACATAGACAACGGGTCTTGGGTAGAGGCCGTGGAATTATACTATTGGGCTCTGATGCAATAAAGCCCAATACGCGACCCAGCCGCGACCACAGCCAGTGCACATAAGTGGGCCGAAATTCAGATTGGAGTGCATCAGCACTTTCTCGTCTCGTCTCGTCTCGTCTTCTTCTTTCTTCCAATCGAATCGGGTAGTGAGTTATTGATTTGAGGATTTTAATTATACATGGAGTACTATTTGTTATGAACGTCGAAGCAGAGGGATTTTGGTTGGTGCCTAATCCCTAATTACTACCTACCCAACCCTAAGCCAGCCAGTTGGAAACCACTCCAGTGTATATTCTCTGAGAAAACCCTAATTAATTGATTGAGATCGCATTTGGGATTTGTTTTCATTTTCTGGAAAGGGATATGGATGCTAAAGACATCCTATTAGGATTGCCGAAGCCGACAACGACGCCGACGCCGCATGGACATCAGCTGCTGCCTTTACCGGCCGACAAGAAGTCGAGGCCTCCAAAAGAATCTCAAAGAAAACCCGATGGCATCTCCAGAGAGGTACCGTTTTTCTTATTCCCACCATCCCGCCCCCAAAGGAAAGATTATATACTTAATAGTATCTTGTTTTTAAATTTCTTCTGAAGCTCTAATAACAAATTTTGTTGGTTGGAATTGAACTGGTTTTTAGGTTTACGCCCTTACAGGGGGCTTGGCACCTCTCATGCCTTCGGTTGATGTCAATCACTTGAAACGTCGAGCTCAATCAGAGAACGAGAAGGTCCGTTAATACTAGTGTACCTATAATTTACCAAAACCAATCATGACAGTGCAAGGTTTCACAGAGATTGGGTGAACATTTACGAGATACAACACCAATCAACCCACCCTTTTTTTTTATGGTTACAAAAAATTACTCATCCTCTGGAGTCTGGACTTGTATAACTTTTGTTTGTCCGCTCCCTCTTTGCTTCTATAAATCTTCAGAGTAGTCAACCACAGCTGAGCCTAATGGGTTGCAAATTCCCCATTTTTATTGGTCTGTTTATACTCTCTATGTTGTGCTATAGAGTTGGTTCAGTAGATGCGTACCTCCTTAGCTCAATTTCATTTCTTTTTTTTTTTATTTTTACTTAGTCAAATTACAAGACGTTTGAGTTTTGCTATTCACTGTTTAAAGTGTCTACTCTGGATTGTATTCTAGCTGTTGTTCCTTCTTCCTCCTTCCTTCCCTCCCCTCCCCCCCCCAAAACTCTTTCCTTCTTTACCTTTCAGTTGGATATTTCATCCCTGTTGATACTTATTCCATGACAATTTTCCCTTTCTATTCAGATTACATGGCAGTGGCTCCCCTTCACAAGTTCTGCACGAAAAGATAATTTGCAGTTGTATCATTGGGTATGTCTTACAAAAGCACTTCTGGAACTGCTACCTGTGTGCTTAATTAATTTTTCCAGCCTCTTATCCCTTTGTAGGTTAGAGTAGTAAATGGAGTGCCGCCAAGTGGTGACTATTCATTTGCCAAGTACAACAAGGTTTGGGGGAACAAAGGATTTCATAACACATCATTTGAGTTGTTGGCCAATTGTAGTGGTTGATTGTCATTGTGGACGATTTGCTGATTATTACTGATGCAATGCAGTCCGTTGATGTGATCAAGTACACAGATGACGAGTACGAGAAGCACCTCACTGATCCTGTGGGTATCCAGCTATGAATGTGTATATTTTCTATAATGGTATAGCTGTTGCCGTCTACATTGTTGAAAAAAAAAAGAACTCATTTTCATGTGTATGAGAGCAGCAGGACTTAACAAAACTCTTCCTTTCGAATCTGTAAAATAATACAAGTATTAGCGATGGACTTTTTGAATCTTTTTACGTTGCAAAGCCTTAAGAGGCTCTGCAGTTAGCTATTTTAATCTTCTTTCTGATTAATCATTTTGGGGGACTTCGTTTCTCTTAATTTCTTCTTCCATTAGATTGAGTTTATACAGTAGGGGATTAATCAATGATGGAAAAGTTACACAGCTCATTCTTTCTGCTCCCTGCTTCATTGTTATAGTCTATGTCATATGAGGTTACCTAAAAGAACTCATGGAGATAGCATCTTTTCTAGTTTATGGAGAGTTATGCACCTTCTCAGGAAAATAATTTTCATTTTGTGTGTTGGCTTTGAGAATTATTTAGCTTTATTCAAATATTAGGTTATTGGAGGTATTCCTTCCTAGCTCCTTGTTCATTTTGTATCTGTTCTTACTATTATGTTGTTGGGGTTTCCCATTGGCCTTTTTCTTCCCTTTTAGATGTGGACCAAGGAAGAGACTGATGAGTTGTTTGACTTGTGTGAGCGGTTTGATCTCCGCTTTATCGTGATAGCTGATAGATTCCCTACATCACGGACTGTTGAGGAGCTAAAGAGTCGGTACTATAGTGGTATGTAAAATGTGTACTGTAATTTTTGTTCCCATCTTGGGAATTCAAGTTTCCTTGATTTCAATAAGATGCTGAACTGTGTGGCTGTGCATTTTCCCCCTCTGATGACTTTGGCTCTCTTTTTTCCTTAGTATGTCGAGCTATCTTGATTGCTAGAGCTCCTGCTCCTGGTGACATTGCTGGACACCCTCTCGTGAAGGTCCTTTAGAACTGATGATATTTTTAATTCATTTAAGAATCTGAACCTTATAATATATGGTTGTTGTATGCTCCTCTTTAAGTTTTTACATGTGTTTCTGCACTTCGGACTCCTGAGGTTGGATTTCGCATCACCAGTCTTTGTAACTCCTTGCACTCATGCAGGATGCTTACAATATTTCACAAGATGTTGAACGTAAACGTGCACTATCTATGGTGCTTTCTCAAACAAAGCAGCAAGAACGAAGAGATGCAGAGGTTTAAAACTTTTCTGTTGCATCTCTTAGCCCATAAGACTTGCTTAATAAGCACTTTTATGGAGCCTTTAATAGACATGAGGTTGAATATTTGAAATCTGTTTATGTTTTATTGCTCATGTTCTGTCCTTATAGTTCTTGCGGAAGCAAAGAGAATCTCTGAGGCACGGAAGGCCGCAAAGGTATTTGGATATATATCTGTTTGTAGTCATGATCATGCATCCTTTTGGTATGTTGTAGATGATTTGGTTTCCCTTCTCAGGGTACTGATGAGTTGGAGGTGCCAGCTATGACTGATACTGTTCCAGATGACAATGATGGGGCTGCTGCTGCTGTAGATTCTCTGTCACCATCTCCAAATGCTCAGTTCACATCTGGTGCTATTGCACCTCCTGTTTCAGAAATTGCTTCAACTTTAGCATCTCTTCGCATGGTATGAAATCCTGTGTACTCGTTTCCCTTTATTGTGTGTCTTTTTGCTCATTATTACTTCAACTACTTCTTTGCACCAGCTGATTTTGGCCTTTGGCTGCTGAAAGACTGATTCGAGTAGCTTGATGCTACTATTTGCTATTTACGAGCTTCTTGTGGTAGACCTCCAATAGTTAAAGAGGAGCCCACTTAGGAAGCCTGAGACTTGCACTCGAAATCAGTTAGTCTTAGTAATCGTTATTGCTAAGCTGTCCTCTTGAAGAATTACCATGCATGATACATAGTGAAGGTTTTGAAATTGCACCAGGGTGTACTGCTTAACAATTTACACCACACACCCCTCCCCAAAACATGACAGAGAGAGGAGGTTTTGATGGGGGACTACAAATATTTAAAACTCTATGTGTAGCCGATTTTTCAGCTTACTAACTATATTTTTCAGATGCGGGTGTATTTGAGAACGCATGCTTTAGAGCAGATGGTGCAAGCTGCTAGCTCGTCAGCAGGACTCAGGACTATTAAGCGCGTTGAGCAAACTTTACAAGATCTTGGGGTTTGATCCTGCCTCTCTGACTCTGAATGTTGATTTGCACTCTGACTGGGATTTTTTGGTTTCACACTTTTCCACACATACTGAGCTTTGTACGAGGTTTTTAATCAGCATTATAGAGGTTTTCAGGAAATGCAATAACTTCTGTCACGCTTTTTGACCTTATTGATTTCATCAGGTGTTTTTATGGACTGTTAACTCGATAGAAGCTTATTATGTTTTCTAAAGAAGAAAATGAGCTATATCCTTTTCAAGTTAGGAAGTGATTCGCCTGCCTCTGAATGTTACTTCATCTTGCTTGAAATAAACTAGTTCCTTAAAGCAAAAAGAATTGGTTGAGTTTTGTAATTAGATCCTTTTAAGAGTA